GCTACAGTAACTACTAATATATGAGAATTATAATACAAATCTTTGAAATTTAAGTAGAAATAATTTGAAAATAAAATAACGACATCGATCACTTTACAAAATAATATGTTATCATTACAAGTGAATATTAAATTAATTGTAAAATGAGATTTCAAAAGTTCTGGTAGTTCTGGTGTACCTTACGTATTTGTTCAGATGCTCTTAAATATAGTTGTGTATTAATAGGTTTATTTGTAAGCATTATTCATGAGTCGGATTAGTACATTCATTTTCGTTGAGTTGTTTTCGTGTGACTGATGGTTCTATCTAACAACGTATAATAAATAACCTGGGAATTCTATTCAGGTTCATAAATATAATTGGAGCCATTTATTTATTTGTCTCATCCACATAGTTAATAAAGTACCTAAATAATACAATATTAATTAATATATTATTATAATTCATACACCCTAGTATACTATTTTAATTAGTTTAGCATAAAAGTTTATGAATGTATTAATTTATAATATTTTAACAATGAAACCATGTATTATATTATCTCACTTTATCAAACTATTAAATCACTAATTAATTTTAGCACTGTTTATTCTAAATTAAATATATCTGACAAAATAAAAGTGCAGAAAAAAAATTATTTACTTTAACAGTTTAGATATTGTATTCCTTACTAAACGCTTGTATTGCACCATAAAAAAATAACAACTAAAATAACTTTAGTAAATTTGTAAATATTAGGAAATATAAATATACATATTCTCAAATGTTTACAATACTTTACATACTTTTTTGATTTTCTAAGTTGCTGATTGCATTTCCATAAACGTCATGAACGTATAAACAAGTTTTTTTTATGCAAATTTGTAAATCCCATTCTGTAATGTTTGAGGGATTGTTATGTTAAATCACTCCAATCTTAATAAAAACACAAGTTTTGTCGGAAATTTTAAGAAAAAATGCATAAAAGTTACATTTAGTACAAGTAACGTTAGGCACCTAGGTACTAATTTTATAATAGTATGAATTTATTGCCTAAGAAAAAAACTCAACAGTCTTAAATCTAATAAAAAAGACACATTCGTAACATAACAAAATATTGTACACAAGTTATTCTTACTAATAACAAACTCAGTTACTTATTAGGTACATAATATTTTTTTATAGAACTTAGCCGTTTTTATAGTTTTGTTGAAAAATTCAGTATATTACTTTATTAATATCATATTAAACACAGTATCTATAAATATAAACGCAGTTTTAAGTTTGAGATGTTAATATGCCATGATAAGTCTTCATATTGGAGATAGAGTAATGTATGAACTGCCTGTACATTTTCGTCGTATGATATTATTTAGTAAATGTCAAATATTGTCTTAATATTATATATATGTATATAAATGGTATGGTATTGTAAAGTATATTATTTCTCGTTTAAAAATAAACTATTTTATTAATTACTTTATAATAATAACAATAATAATAACATGTTTGGGGTTCTGATGTTAATTGGTTATTATGTAATTTAAATTTATAGTAACATTATTGATTTTTTTTTATTGTCATGTATAACACAGTTATCAAATAGTTTAATATGACAAAACCATGTGTGTTAAATGTTAACAAGATAGAGGAAATTGCTGTCGAAGAATGACGAACAGCAGTCACGCTCGAAAATAAAAGACAATATCACACTGTTTATAAAGTGTGAGTTGAATTTTTGTGGCAAAAACAAATAGGAAACTAAACATTTAAAATTCCGGCAGGGTATCTTATGTATATGCACATGATATTAAATTATATTATTATATAATACACCATACAGTGCATGGGATGTTTAACATTCATTTCGATTCACAACTGATATCAGAGCACAATAACGGGAATATTATAATACATTTTATAAAATGATACTGAACAAAGTTCTGCTTATCAGTGTTTATTGGATGGGTAGTTTAAAATTTTAAAACTTTGTTTGAAAATAAGTTATCAAATATTTATTTTAGAAATATAGGTGTAACTAAAAACTAATTTTGTTGAAAATAGGTTTACAGATAATTTTTCTATTTTTTTTCGAACAAAAACAACTATGATATTCCAAAATTACATTTTTCGAGCATCTAATTACTAAACTGGGTTTTTAGTTAGCCATGAGGTTTTTTGATCAAATTTTCTATTAGGAAAAATCATAAAATTCAAAACTAAAAATATCGGACATTATTATTCTAAAACCAATTTATTAACTCACTTCCCGGGATCTTTAATACTCGGGATTGATAAAAATAGGATGTAAAATATATTCTTCCTATACGGAGAAGACAATTTGTTTTGTACATAATATTATAATATGCGTTGTATATATTTGAACGATATGCGTAAGTGAGTAACGGTCGATTAACATCATCCAACACCAAAGAACTGCATTGTGTTATTGAACGGCCATCAACGAAACATGACAATTAAACGTACACAATATAAAATGCTGCAGTAGTAGTTTGGTTCTGTTCGGTTTATGTCAGAACGAAGCCAACGATACATTTTACTGAAGAAAGAAAATGGGTTGTGTAGGGTAGACATCGAAGTTTAGTGTAGCTAAGTCACTATGTTGTCCTGCCTTACCGCTCATACTAAGAAAGAAAAAGTATCACCCAGGGCGATTGTCAATAGGCAACCCAAAATACCAACCACACCCAAATAATACGACCTAGATTTTAGATCTTGGAACGATGAAAATGATAAGTAATTACTTACAAAATACTGCGAAAAACGATTGCAAGCCCCGTGCTTAATTTATTTTTCTTGCCCATAGTGAAGGTTTTTTAGGATCAATAAACGGGGCTCAAACGGAACATTAATTCCTAATAAAACATAGGTAGAATCAAGTTCTCAGATACTTGTACCTAAGCACTTACTTATTTATATAGAACGAATGGATGAGTCGCAGATGTGTATCAAAGTATAGACACAAAACAGATACAGTTATACAACATTTTGTTGGTCCCGTTTCACAGGTCAACAGACCATATAACAATTGTGCTATTGGGTATAGTCTATATTGTGACGAATTACCCAAAAAAAAAAAATTTCGGCATCGAAATGTACCTTTACATTTGATGGTTGGACTAGGTTGATCTTAACAAAAAATGCTGGTGCTTCTTTTATCTTAATATGTATTGACAATACAGGCAAATTACAGTTAGTTCATTGAATGTATTAAGTTTCAAAATCCATACTAGAATGTTCAATTTCTTATTGCTCATGAATATGAAACACTATCCTTTGATTCCCTTTTTTTCAGAAAATAATTCAGAGAGAAAAAATGTGTTTTATAATTAATTACCAAATCAGTATGATAAAAATAGTGAGGGTTAGAGAATCCCAAAGTTTTATTTCTAGAAAATACTTTTATATTAATACATGTTTTCAAAAACGTTTTGTGCATAAAACAATATATATTAATATTTATGTTTAGATCCTTACTAAACTAAGTACAATCGTATAATATATAATAGTAATAAAGAACTGTTTCAAACAAATTACAAAAGTGTATTTTAAATATCTAGGTAATCATATTACTTATACTGGGTGGAGATATTATTATAATTAATTATGTTTCGTTTATTAGGTACTTAGGTACTCCAAAAAAAAGTTGTAATCAAGTTTTTTTATTATATACTAGATACGACTCTCTATAATTATTGAGTACTAAAAATGAGATCATTTTTCTTCTTTAAAAGGAAAAAAAATAACGATAACTTAAAATATAATAGATGTATCTTATACTAATTATAAAGTTAATAGATAAATTTAAAAATACTTTTAAAATTTATAAAACGTTTGTAAAAGTATGATTCATTTGTAATGTTTTTAAATTGTTAGTTTGTCAAATCGAATAAATGATGCAAGCAGGTCGTGCGTTACACTCATTCTTCAAAAAATAATAGTATAAGAATACTTAATCATTTTTTTTTTCATTTTTACAATAGTTATTTCTATAGTGGAGTAAGCAGAAGGGTTGTAAATATTCACATTGCACTTAAAGTAAAAATTAAGTATAAAACAGTTATACTATATTTTTTACTTGAATAATAATATTCAGAATGTACAACTGCTCCGTTAAAAATGCATGATAACTCTGCATTAGGACATAAACTGTTAATGTCGTGATTTAATCAACAGTTTTTCAATCATAGTCATTTCCTCGAATAAATTATATTCTCGCTAATTGAATTAAGTTATAAAACGTACCTACCTTATTATTGAGTATAATATAATATAATATATTATATATATAAAAAAAATGTAGTGTGAATCATGTTGAGTTTACAGCGTTGGCTGAGAATAAGCTATAGCGTGGTGGCCTCGAGAGGGGTTTGTAGAAAATCTCTCATACCCAATGGCTACCAAAACGGTTATGATATAAAACGGATATTTAATATTTTTACCCTTTAAAAGATTTAAGTGGAGGAGATGACAATTTTGGTGTGAGAGGTGGAAGCTATAGAGGAAAACGGATAAAACGACTAATGGAAATCTCTGAGCAGTCACACTAAAACGTTTCTGATAAAGCTTATATATATCGTATATATTGTAGCCACAAACGTAAGCCTTTTTTTCAGAACGAATTAAATCAACTACGATGCTTGTAGTAGTTGCTGTATACGCGTCTCTCCAGTCTTTTTTTTTTCATCGGTAATTCAGATTTCAGACAAAAAGTGTCGACGACAACAATGCTACATACCGACGACCAAAAATACCTACCATATGTTTACCTACAAAATCGTATCAAGAATCTAATCATTTCTCTTCAAATTCTCTTTTTTATATTTCTTTTCTGAAATATTTTCCTAATGTGCTTTGTACACATTGTTAAATTGGATTTCAAAAGCACTTAAATGTTAATAATTTTTATAGATCCATTCAATATTATTAAGTTAAAATTTTTTTTTCCCAGTATCTCAATCTTCTACTTAATACCAATACCGAAAAGTAAATTTACTTACCAATTCAACAGAACCATAATGCCGCCTGCTGAACACACCACGTCGAGATATGAGATCATTAGACGACGATCTGAAAAAAATAAATTATTGTTTTAAATTAAAATATTTTGTTTTTCCGCTTTTTTATTTTGTACTTTGTAACTTTGTTTAATCAAAAAAAAAAAAAATGTTCGTTTAAGTAGTAGGCTTAAAAAACATGTTTATGTACTACGGTAAATATTATACGAAACATAATTATATGAAATTAATCTGCTCGTAAGTTGCATTTTATCTATTATATTTATTTTAAACAATTTAAATTGCTAAACTTATGAAAATCAGCGGTTACATAGAATTTATTTATTTACTTATAGACTACAACAAAATTGTTTTTGTTTCGATACCCGTTGTCCGTGAAAAGATTGTATTATTATATTAACTAACCTGCCATAGAATTTAAATTTGTATGACTGTCGCATAAGAAGTACTGTTTTTTTTTTATCAAATTATATTTATACAATGCACTATTGAAAAAATATAATATAATTTATTTTTGCTTACAGGGGTTAGATTTGGTATCAACATTGTTCTAATATTAACTATGTTGTATAAATGTAATATCATATAAATGTTTTGAAAATAAATACAAATAAACTATACTTATTCTAACCAACAATCAGTACTTTTATAACTTTTAACGAATCAGTGTAACTGCTCCTTATTCTGGCCTGGTCAGAATATATTTGTAATGACTTGAATTTAAATCATATCAGACAAAAATGAAGAACACAGACGACACTTTATTACAAAGTCACTCATTTTTATGACAATAATTTAATACGATGAGTCATACATGATGATCTAAATAATCCAATAATCAAACTATAAAATAAACTAGTAACAAATTACCTACCTATGTATATACAAATTCAAGCGCGGATACAAGATATACAGATATATTGCAATTAATAATATTTGATAATGAATCTACATTACTGATATCATTTAAAGTTATGGGATTCAATTAAATTCACAAAACAGGTAGGCTGTAACATTTTACTTTTTTTAATTAAAACATTTACCTACTGTGAAACAAAACATCCATTTTTGCTTCTTTACTTATTTGCATAATTTCCTTTTAAAAAAGAATGAAAATAAGACAGTAACAGTTGTAAAACAATTTATCGAAAAAGTTCTTTCTAACATTAAACTTTAACAAGAAGCCATTAAAAAACAGTGTTTTTGGCAAGCTTTTGGGTTGAATTTTCTTCTCTGTGCACCTAAAAGGCTACAAGTATAGTGTGTTGCGTGTATACTGTACCTATACCTACGTTATATTATTTTCCTTTGATAACACAAAACCAAAATATTTCACATCAATAACCTCCATAATACATTGAATTAATTAGGTTAGGTTCTATAACAGTAGGTAGATAGTTAAATTTAAATGTATTAAATATATTAGGACATATCTAACTATACGATTAGATAAAAATATTTTATATAGTTTATACATTTATAATATAAGTAAGAATAAAAAAACCAATTTAATTTAATTTAAAAAGCTATTTTTTTATGTTCTGTATGAAAATCGCCTAAACGTAAGATACATTTTTAAGTTAAAAATATTGAGATTTTTATTAATTGTTACTCTATATGGCTATATTTGTTATAATTGTCAAGTTTTAGTAATACAAATTTCTAGTTTAAAATAATATGTTAATTTAAATTAAAATAATGATTGAGTAACTCTAACTGTTGAATCTTAATAAAAAAATGTTTGACTTACATTTTTAATACCTAATAACTATAATTTCAACTATGTTGAATTTTAGGACTAAGCCTTTGACCAAGGCAAGTGTCTCGTACTCCCATGTTATAAATATAGTTTTTAATTCATAAACAAAGATCAAAATTAGTAAATATTACTTAATGAAGCAACTTATAGTAAAAATAATATTATGACCTTAGAAATATCAATTCAATGTAAACTTATACAAACAATGTTTAAATCGAGTTCAAAACAATAACATTTTATTTATATTTTACATAACATTTGAGTGAAAAAATTAACCACACTCATAAATTTGACAAGGTTTTAAAATCCTCATGATAGTGCACATGTTGCAAAGCTTCAAAACATGAAATCGAGCATTCATAAGAAAATATCAAGTACATGAGAGTTTACGCTTGTATGCATTTTTATAACAAAAATGCATAAATAAATTCAAATTTTCCACTTGAATTGATACCGTAAAATATTCAACATTATATACTCAATAAAATTCTTAACGACTCAAGTATAATATTTGCATTTAGAGGGATTCAAGAAAAATATGTAAAAGCCTAATGCTTTATCTTATAGTATTATTTAGTGTGCATAGTTGATTCAGTATGTCACTATTTTACGATGGAAATATTGTTAAAAATAAACATTATGGAAATGGAAATGTGTTTTGCAAAATGACAAATCTAAATATTACACGTGCTATGAATTGTAATTCATTTTTATTTTATCAAATACTATTTGTTATAAATTCCAATTATCAAAGTATTTACAATTTGAATTGTTTACTATGACTGTTATTTTACAACGAATAACCTATGATGTTGTTATTAATATTTAAAATCTCAATCATATTTAATATACTACTACGTATTCATATTCACATTTCAAATTTACACTTGTCTTCTGGTAATTGCACATTATATTATCAACATGTGTGTGAAATAAATATTTCGTGGAAATAAATGTGCCACGGGCCTACTTGAATACTGTTATATTTTGTTTGTTTGTTTGTTTGTTTGTTTATTTATTATTATTGTTTAAGAGTTGTTGTCTTTAAACAAATTAAGAACGACTGGTATTCACAGTTACTAACTGTTTTACTATTCAACAATATTATAAGCAAGTTAACATAATACAATTTGTTTAAAAATATACAATCGAATTTTTCTAAACTATTATACTTATACATTATTGATATTTAAAAAAAAATTAAAGGTGGTGCTCTGATTTAGAAAAAAATATTATGCTTGAAATAACTGTGAAGGGGGAGGTTTCTATAACCCCCTTTGCAAGTAACTCATAGATATTCAAAGTTGATCAATAATTATTATTGCAAATTATTACGCAGAAAAAATGCTTACTTATTTTCAACAAGTACCTATAGTTTAAATTGCAGTTTATCTATAAGAGCAAAGTATATCTAAGTATCTAATATTAATAAATATAATGATTACTATTATAAATTCATATAGTATAGTATATATTTGGTAATGGTAGGTGTAATATGAGGTGAGTAAGAAAAATAGAATTGTGAAAAATCGAATTTTTTGTAAGTTTCTAACCTCACTTTAACGAAAAAATGTAAATGAACGAGAAAATTACGGGTTTGGTCGTACAAATATGTGCTTACGTGCTGAATAATGACACAGGAAAAATATGAGAAATCTAAATATTTTGCTCCAGGATGGGGCTAGTTTGACATGTGTGAATTAGGACAAATGTTTTTAAAAGCCAACAGTTAAAGTTAGAGCTGTGGTACCAGACGTGCAAATACATGGTAATTACGTACTCAGTATGAGGGTTGGAAAAACTGAAAAATTTAATTTGTGTCACAAGTCACTGAACTCAACCTTTACGCTTATCTTTGATTTACTCCTAAACCAAATGCGTACAAATTATATGTTGTTTAAATTCTTGCAAATTATGTGATAAATAATTGAATAAAACAATTTGGAATTGGGAGGAATTGGGAACATACACTTAACATTGCTCAACGTAAAAAATATTATAAATTTAAGATAACATCATATTATATAATATGCACAAAATGCTTTATTTAGTAGTTTTAAGTAGTCGATATTTTTTTGAAATTCTTTTTGTGTTTCTACATTTGTCTCACCAAACGTAAGAATGGAAATATAAAATATATTAATTTAAAGTTTTGAAACATTTGATGACATGATGCCAAATATTCAGTATAAATCAATATCGCAGATACGATCCATAACGCCATTGTATTAAAGTGTACTATGGGGCATAATTTTTCTTTTTATGATGGCGTACAAAATTTTTTTTTACGATCCAAAAACCACTTTGAGAAGACAAAAGTATGATAACCTGATGTAGTGATACACAGTGGGAATTGAAAATGGTTTTATGGATTTATCATGAATCTGGTAAGTAGTCCCAAGCTACGACTTGCAAGAAAATAATAATAGTACCTAATAATTAAAAATATTTCCAGCCAACTTGTCATTCGTCCAATTATTTCAATGTGCATGTTATGTCCACTATGACAGTAATGGACATTTGGTACAACTTACAACTTAAAGATTCGTTTAAGATAAAACTATTATAGTATTGTGTAGTCCTATATATTATTTTAGATCTAAATAAAATAATTTCTGGGACTGCGGCTGTTCCACATAGGCTTTCACATGAGATTAAAATGTAAAATTAATTAATTTGACAATAATATTCTACGTTACAAGCATAGTTAAAACAAATTGAAGTATAATACATCGCTATTATTTAAACATCTAGAGAATATTTTTAGTGAACTACCATAATATCTCTTCACATTTAGTATACATACTAGAATAAAAAATGTAAACAAAATTCTTATCAGTACAATCTTACGATTAACATTATAATTAATTTTAACTTAAAATACCTATACAATATTAATCATACTTATACTTATTCTGAATAGCTCATTTATTAGTGGAATGCAACATGAATAATAAAATTCAAAATATAATTTCTATTATTTTGCTATTCATTTTTAAAGATAATATATATAATATATATACCTTATAATATGGTCTTAAATATTTTTAATTACTTAAAAGTCGAAACTTAGAATATTTTTTGTGTATAAGTATTAAAATCAGAACATAATCATTAATTACTGATTACCATCATAAGCTATTAAATATTACTTTACATACATATATTATCAAGAGTATTTTAAACGTAATTTTTATGAAATTAAATGTAAAACACGGCAAAAAATCACTTTAAATCGAAAAATGTATTTAAGTATCTATAATCTATAGGGATGTTTAATAAAAATGTAATTTATTGAATTTCACAGTAGTTTCTCTAAACATTAAATAATACCTAGCTTAAAAATGTTTTAACGATATTAATTTGGATCATTGTTATATAGGTTCAGAATTCAAATAATGAGGACTCATTATTTTTAAAAAAGTGTCTTACAAATATTAAGCACTGTAATACACCTACATATAAACAGAAGAGATAAGTGTCAAATATCATGTTTCTAATAATATGTTTTTATTTTAATATAAATAGTAAATAATTAATAAAATCATTTAAAATTTTCACCTTGAATGGTTAGCTAATTTCAAAGTTAAAATTGTTTGCTACAGACACCTTAGTTGAGTTGTAATATTTGAAACTAAAATTAAAGTTTGTTTACAGATAATACTTAAGGAGTCATTTACCGATTAATAAATCACATCTTATCTCACTTTATTAAAAAAAAGATTTTTTAACATTTGTAAAACCTATTTAAAACTTAAAATTTTAACGACTCTAAATTACAAAGTCTATTTAAAGTCGATAAACGGTTAACTTTTTTTGATAAATTGTTTGGTAGGTACTAGCAGAGTAATATTCATCTTTAGTGTGCGTTTTTGGAAAATACCTACCATAGAATCAAGAATGATAACGAAAATAAATAAATAATATTGCATGTAATTTATGACGATTCTCATTGATGAATAAACTGATAACACTATTAATATATAAAATACAGGTACCTAGTGTTGCAATAACAACTTTAAACTTTGAAGAGTGATTTTTTCGCCCCAAACTTAATGTGTGGGTAATTAAATTGGGGCTGCTTTGATGAAAATCTTTGAAAACGTAATACAAATATCTAGAAAAATATCTAAAAATAGCGATATCTTAATATTTTTCACCCCCCCCCCCAAAAAAAAAAATGTAATCTTTTTGTTCTGTTTCCTACAGTCTCTATAGTATATACTACGGTGAAGGGCGTTTCGATAAAAAGCAATATACTATTCATATTTTAATATTGCATTTGTCCAAATGACCTAAAAATATCTGGATTAATTTTTTTTTTTTTGTGAGCATTTTCAAAAAATCGAACCAGCTAACGTAAGTCATAATAATAATACTAATAAAAATAATAACAATAAAGTCAATAAAATATTCTGCAAAGTCCAGGGTCTCGAATCAATATTGTCATTGTACACATCGCGCTTATTTCCTCTGAATTTTGAGCGCACATCTCAAGTACCCAACGACCGCGGGTACATGGTTTCGTGCGCGAAAAACGCGGTATAACAACTTTAGTAAAATGTAAATACTCACAGCGCGGACGAGGCCCGCCTCCTGTTGAGTTCTCTGACCGGTAAGGCGGCCGGGTGCAGGAGCGTGGCCAGGCCCAGCCGTTCGACGCACAGCGACCTGGACCGGTCCCTGGCCGCCGTGATGCCAGTGGCGGACGCGGCGCGTGGCGGGGCAGCGGCCACGCTCAGCCGCCGGCCACCCGGCAACGTGGACGGCGGTGGCGGCGGCTGCTGCTGTTGGCCGTCCCTGTTGTCCACGCCCCGGAGACGCGACACCAGCTTCATGGTGGTCGCCGACGACGTCCGTTCGGCGTCGCCGGCCGAACCGTCGGCGCCGCCGCCGCCACCGACGGACGACCGTCGCCGCCACGTTCGCGAGTCCGTGTTGGAAACGGCGACAACGACAGCGACGACAACAACGACAACGACAACGACAACGACAACGACAACGACGACAGTACGACGGGTGTTCCGGCGCGCGGCTCTTCGGTTGGACGTCACGGGCGGGGGGAGGGTTGTCACGGGTTCCCCGCGGTTTTAGACTTTTGTTCGTTCGTGTTTTCCAAGCTAAAGCTCGCCAAACTGACCAACGACCGTTTTCGTGTTCCAAAATACACACGACACTGCGATTATATCATATAACGTATTACAATAAGTTATTAGTAGGTACTTGTGATGTGGTTATAGGTAGTAAACTTGGGTAAAATATGTTTAAAAAGTATATTTTTAATAAACACTCGAATACTCATTCGATAGATTTACTCTTAAAGTATTTGGAATGCTTTTAAAATACATTTTTGTTTTCGTTCTAGGTATTAAACCAATTTTAAATATCGACCTTCAACTTTTCTCTGAGAAAATTTGTAACTAGCACCAATATAATATTATAATATAATTTAATAATTTTAAATATCGCATATAATTTAAAGTTTTTGATAATCGATTAAAAATATTGTATACATTATTAGAAAACAACAAAAATAGTTATTATTGTAAATAAAATGCGGGAATAAAATGCTTTTAAAAAGTATTATTAATCGTTATTCCCTTATTTAGAATACTTTTGAGAAAAGAGTTCCATACACTTTATTCGCAATGTTACCCAAGATTGGTAGGTTTATCGTATAGGTACCACCTATATATTATTATTTGACATAAAGATAATATGTTCGTGTGTGTGTGTGTGTGTGTGTGTGTGTGTGTGTGTGTGTGTGTGTGTGTGTGTGTTAATGCACGCCTGTGTCTCCACTCATCGCCCACCCCACAACTACGAGCAACCACAATCTCGGAAAAATCTGAATATTATTAAATAAATATAATTTATTAACAAGATATTGTAATAAATAATAATATCGTTATCACCCACACTTCATCAACATCGCACTCCCGTTTGGTAATTGCAATAATAATACCAGTAATAATATAATTATCAAGTTAACCAAAGTTGTTCATCAATGGTTTTGAAGGTGCCCTGACACTCTATCGTGTCTTATATAATTTAAAAAGTTGTGTTTTAATCACAGTTTTTTAATTGGTTAGACGATGAGGTTATCTTCTAAATATACCCAATTGTTAAAATTTGTTGACGTAAAATTTAAAAATATTAAATTTGTCAACGTTATGTGGTTACAGTGGTCAAACGGTTAGGTCTGACCATTCAATCGCCATTACTGTTTAAATTCTGAACCATTACACTGGCTAACCTCTATGACTAGATTCTACAAATATTCGAAGGTAATATTGTGATAAAATAATAGTAGATATTACTTAGAAAATATAAATAATGAAATAAGTACATAGAGATTAACTCGTAAAAACTATATCGCATCACTCTTATAGTGATATTCAAAAATAACTTATTATTATACTACCTTTACATTTAGGAATACAAATAAACAAATTGTTGAAATTCAATTTTTGATACATTTTTGGCTGAGTGCATCAATTTGTACTTTTCATTTTTCGTTTTAACCAAACCTACTTTAACAACTAATTTTTCGCTTAGTTATTGGTGCAAAATTGTTCAAGTTAATACATTGCATATATTTGGATACAAAAATTAGCGGTTTAATAATATAAGAGAAGTGGAAACTCATTTTACGAATGGACAGAAAATGTTGTTTTGAGTTTAGAAATACAAACCTGACACAACAATGCAAATAGTCAAAAAACATTTTTTTATACCATAATTAGGTAGTCTATTACCTTCCCGAATCGACGTATCATGAATCTTTGCTCTATGGCCGTATACCACATGTGTCGACTAACCTGATATTTAAATCAGAGAAAGGGTTCAAATATAGTTATGATAAACGTATGATAAACGTATGTAAATATTTTTAAAAAAACATTGTTTTAGAAGAAAGGGTCGAATAATTAACTAATTGATGTCACCCAAACTTTTTAATTCTACCTACCTACTTAATTTACTTGCTAATTTATTGATATAAGCAGTCAGCTAAATCTTCAGTTGTTATGTTAATTGTATTAAATGGTATTGTTGATGTTATGTTTACCATCTGCACATTGACATTGTATTCAGTTAAGTACTGATTCATGAATGAAATTAATTAACACAAAATTGTGTGCCGATAAATTTGTTTATTAAAATAAATATACTCATATATTTTACTCAAGAATATTTATTGTTTCATCATATCTTATTTATAATTAATAACAATTTACCTAAATGAAACTATTTTTATAAATCCACTTTTCTCCAAGTCACAACTCGTGCACTAGTTATTTCCCACAGGACACGACTCTTTAACTTCAGTCTTGTGGTGTTAATCATTAAAATATTAAAAACTGAAATATCCTTCTTCTTGCAACCGTGTTACCAATTAGAGGCAGAATAAGAATCCAACCTTATCTTTTAAGACCTGGGATTAAAATTAAAAGATAACAATAACCATTTATATTTAAATGCGTGGTGTACATGCATTAAATAAACAGTTACTTAAATTAATCTTTGCATGTTGCGGTCATGTGTGATCTTCAAAATATAAGAGTCGAGAGTTTTTAAACTATTTAGTTTCTAGACACACTGTATTTTTATCATATGTGTATTATCCTCCTAATACGTTTAATATGTCATATAATATAATATGAATACGTTTTTTTTAAAACTTATTCCTGGAATTAATGAGAGAATTCTGTGTTACTGTTATCTGCTCTACCGGACCATTATTTCAGCAAACGAGCTTCGCTCCCCTCCTTACTGGTCCGTAGAATAATTAACTCTGTACATTGTTTTGTTAATTATTATTATTACTATATTTATCCCCAACACCCTATTTTTTGTCTTTTGACGAGTAAAAACCGGTAATTGATTTTTTTTAAAATTAACTTAAATAAAACGAAGCAATAAATGTCAGGATGATTGGTAGGCACGCCTACAAAATAAATTTCATACCAATTTCAAAATGTATTTACAAAGGTTCGTTTAAAAAACCAGTAATTTGATGTAGGTATTGTATTTTAAAATGTTATGTAGGTATTAAAGAAATTAATATAATTAGGAATAAGTATCCACAGTTTCGTCATTTCTGAATTCAGGATGTAGATTAATGATTAGGTTTCACTGTTTCATATAATATGACTATATGAGTAGTAAATAGTATAAATAGTATATATATATATATTTGGTGTATGGGCAAATTAATATATCTGTTATTGTTATCTAATGTAATATAACTACATATTATTGAATACTTAACTTTCATATTAATAATTTGTCTATAGTATGACAAAAACACTGACAAATAAGTTTTAGATCCATATAAAATATTATGTACAGTTCTTCACTGGTTACTATTGAAATTAATTATTTTATTTTTTCATGAAATTAGTTGTGGTACAAAACACTATAATAATAGTATAATGTATCATTTAAAAATAAAATATACCTAAATAATTTTTAAAACTAACTATAAAGCAGCTAGTTAATACAAAATTCTAATATGAATTTCAAATATAAATTTTCCAACATTTTAATACAAGTTCATGAATATGGAAAGATATGAATTTACTACCTACTAATGCAAATATGATAATATCTCGATTAAACAAATTGAATTTTTTCATAACAAATAAATTAAAATTATTATCATTTTTGTATTTATGTATAGATACTACTATGTAATAATACATCATATATAATATATAGTGCACTTGTAAAAAGTGTTTCCATGTTTATGACAATATTGTAATCATAACAAATTTATACATGACAAAATAACTAGCCATTTCATAGAGAAAATGCACAATAATTAAAAACATATTATGATCGAGGAGTTATTCAAGTGTTTCGAATAGTCTATACGAAGTCAAACATAACGCGAAATTCTGTAATTAACACTTAACACATCTGTCACGGCATCGAGTATGGATTAAGCATTACAATCTGCCCTCGATAATTAAAGTGGAGTCGAACGCAATAATTGTTACCTAACCAAACACGATTCGGCCACGGTGTAATATAGTGTGGTTGTATATGATTATAAGACCGAAAGTTTGATGATGTTATTAAAAAGCGGATAAATTGTGTAGCTCTTATACCGTTCATATTATTATGAAAAAATATTTCTCGACGACGGCGACGTATTATTATACACATACGGTGGTTTAGAAACGTGAGCGGATTGATTAGAGGGCATTTTTCGATCAAACTGACGATATATTATAATATATATATATATTGGGATATGATGTATATATATGTATAGAATGTGTATATAATACATATATATATATATATGATGAAAGACGCGGTAACGTCGGGAGATTGCGAGCGTTCGATATATTTCCTCGTTGAACGAAAAAGGATGAAAAAACGCAGGGAAAACGAGAGAGAAAAAAATGGAATGGAAAATAAGACCAATCTGCCAGCCACGGAGTAAATCATTTTACTTACGTCTAAAATATACGCGAGCCGCTTTTTATCTGCGTCCGACGTGCCGACGCCGACTGAACACTACAACGTGTGAGGTATAGAAATATGCGGTGAGCATCATACGTGCACATGCGAATCCAACGACGGTGCTTAGGGACTAGTTGTATACGACAGAGTAAAATCGAAAAATCACCGGTTAAACGGGCTGTCGGAGAATTCGCGAATGCTGTGGAATTTTTTCTATCAAATTTTCGAATATAAGGGTTTTTGTATATCATATTATTATTGTTATGCATGATTTGAAATATTTGAACATGGCGACATCATATTTTCATCGTTGCGTGGTGAACTTTTACCCTTTTAACTCACAGTATTATTGAAAATTTAATCATAGATATGTCTTAGTAGAATATTTTTCGTACTGAAAATATTTATGTGATGTATTGATATGTATCGAGTATTTTATTTTATTTACAAATACCTATTATGCGTTTAAATAGTTAAGACGAATGGAGTAATGTAACTAAGATTTCCTTTCATCCCACCTCTCTTATCAAAACTTTAAATTGTTATAAGTTGTTCGAATTACAATGATACTTCTATAAAATTGAGGTCATTGAAAGAACCAACAAATATTATCTCTATTATTAGGTGATATCTTTCTCTCTTTCTCTCTCCCATACACACAAGATACTATACTTAATATTTATAGTATGAATCTCAGCAAAA